TAATCAAAATTAAAAAAAAAAAAAGGTTTTAATGACAAAAAGTAAAAAATAATAATATATCTTTATTATTTTAATTAATTAAATAAATTATTTAAATAATTTCAAATTAATAAAATTATAACTAAATTGAAATTTTAGTTTGAATTAAGTATAAAAATTTTATGCAAAATTATTTTAAATAACCAAAAATTGCCCATCCGTGCAAATTGCGATGTTCAGGGTTATCCGCAACTGTTTTAAACCAACTAACCAAGCGTTAAATTTTTATAACCCAATCAAACTTCAGACAATTTCCAATTTGGATTTACCGATAGAAAAAAAATAAATAAATAAAAAGACAATTTCCAATCTGGGTTTTGGTTTACCCTTTTTTTTTAATTATTTTATTCGGGTTTGGGTTTTTGGGCTTAATGATTTTTTGGGTGTTTGGGTTCACTGATAATGTTATTCCCCAATCCAAACTTCAAACCCGGGTTTCACTGTAAAACGGGCACCGTTTTCGTAAAGGAGCTAACTTGACTTGGGCAATGGGAAAGGCCAGAGCTTGAACTATTTGCCTCATCCAATTCAGCGATATACCCTGTTTCTTCTTCTTCTCCTCTCGTCGAATTGATCACAGACCCTTCAGAGGAAAATGAGTGTAAGCTAATTCATCCAAGAAATTTGAATCCTTTCTATCTGTTTTTTGATCAAGTTCAAGAATTTCTTCACTTAGGTCTGAATATTTTTCTCTATTCTTTTTTTTTTTTCTTTGTTATAATATTTTTCTCTTTTCTTACATGGCATGGCAGTATATGGATTCAAAATGTCCCAGCATGGCCTAGTTGGGTCTGAATCTGATTCACAGAGAACCCTGTAAGTTCTCTCTCTCAATCGTACTGTTGGTTTGTAGATATAAGTATAAGAGAACAAGGGCTTGCTGTTGTTTGGTATTCTCCTTTTGAATTTTTTGTGGGTTTTGGAAATTTTGGATAGATACCCATATGTGACCGGTACATCAGTGGTGGCTTTGAAGTACAAAGATGGGATTCTGATGGTTGCTGATATGGGAGGTCAGTGTTCGCACATTCATTAATCTCCCTAGTGCTTTGTTTTTCCTTTGGCTGTAGTAGTATGTAATTGGAAGAATAGAAATTTGGGTCTTTTACGATGGTTGTTCATTTCAAAGATGGAATCTTAACTTTACATCCTAGTTGGTCTCTTCAGTTTGATTGTAATGTTATTGAGATTATCACTTATTTTCTTTCAATATTAATTCATTTGCTGAGTGCCATCTGAATCTTGTTACTGTTTGTTTTGACCTTGCTGATTATAAGCTTTGTGGATTTAGCGACCCCAAGTTGTGTGAATAAGCTTGCTGATAATTGCTAGTTTTTATTCCTTAATCAGTTTTTACTAGGAGATAATGTCGAGAACAATGATTGAGGTGATGCTTAATTGTCATTATGTCCCTAAATAATCAGTCTTGGTTTTATGTTGGAAGATAGAATGTACTTATGTTGTATGTCTCTAATGTGTTCATCAAGCAAAGAAGTTGAGACTAGCAGGTTGAGAAAAACAATATTTTCTTTACCAACTCAGCCAGCTGCAACCTTAACTCGAGCTCCAACAGTTGGCACTTGCGTGGCTCAAGCTGTAAGGCTGAGGAAAAGGGCTGAGGATGAGTCTGCAGCTACAAAAAGGCGCAGGCTGGAGGAGCAGCAGCGGCAGGAGGCTCCTCAGTTTGTACCTTGTCCTCCTGCCGGTGGTTGTTGATCTTGCTGTTAGGGAGGTTGGGGTTGTAACACATGCGAGGGGAAAAAGCTTCCCAACTCAAGTCCAGTATCCAGAGGGTTATGGCTTTGCAACCTCTTCCAGCAGAACAGCTGCAAGGCGTTTCATTGACACCACATTTCCCAAAATGGATCTAATTCAGGCAAGGGACGAGGTAGATCTTCATGGAGGAGATGAGGTAGTTTGCCACATCCTTGAGGTAAGGAGTTCATTGGTATAAGTTTTTAACTTCAGCCTTTTTTTTTTTTTTTTTAACTTTGGTAATTTATGTAGGGAGTCAATCTTGTTAATGTTTTGGCAAACAACCACCTGGACTCCCTAAAGGAAAGAAATAAATTG